TGTATATTATGTTACATTTACAAGCCGGCCCGACACCGACGTACATACGCCAGGCCCCGCCTAACAAAGCACATATTTATTAGCGATATTCCGTTCAAGACGCGATAATACTGAATATCCAATCGCAAATATGTAACTGAACAACTTTTTTTTATTTATTCTTTATTGTACAAAAGGCGAGCCTAATGCCATATGGCATTCTCTACCAGCTAACCTTTAGGTACAAATTGAAAGCGTTGTATGGCAGTAGTGATGAAAAACTGTGACTATAAAAACTATAAAAGATATATAAAAACTTTCGCTAGTAAAAACTTAAGAGTTTTTAACTAAAATTAGGAGTTTTATTACAAGTTTTTACTACTTTTACTACTATCTTTACTGAATCAAATCACAGTAGAACACTAAATAAATAAATCCCACAGTAAGCAGAGCTTGTGTTATGCGTACCAGACAACTGATATTAAATATCTACATTTTTTTAACATACATAATATATACAAAGCACCCTGACCGATACAAACAATCATAATCATAAATACAAACGATTGCACCGTGCGAGGAATCGAATGCACGACCATCGGAAATAAAACGGTGTGTCAAACCGCTAGAACGAGGCCGTCAAAATTTATCTATCTATCTATAATAAATAAATGAAAAGGGCAAAAGTAACTAACTCAGTATAAGGCTACAGAGTGACTGCAGAGAAAATATTCTGTCCGTTAAGAAATGTGTTTTTACTTAACATTTTTCAGATGTATTTATAATTGGAAGCACTGATATTAATCTATGTATTGATCAATATTATTACAATAGTCCTGTACCTGTATTTGGTTCCTGTTGAAACGAAGAAGAATAAGAAGACAATAGTTCCTGACAATCTCCTACAATTCGAGCTCCCTGCCAGCGACATCGCTAATAAATATGTACGTTATTTAGAAGGGCAATGATCTCATGAACTTCCCATGTGTTTAGTTACTATTTATAGTTATCCCCTTACTTATAAATAAATAATTATTTATTGAAATTATAAAAAAAATTGTGTTTCATAATTTTAATACATGACAATATAAATTTAATATATAATATTTAAGTTACAAATAACAAATGATATATCTATATATTTTTTTTAATTTTGACATTTTTACTTTTTATGTATGTATGACAATAAATGTCATAAAGTGTGACATTTAATGTCATATCACTTATCTATTTATAAGTAAGGGGTTATATTTTATAAAGAAGTAATTTCCGCGATTGCATTAGAGAGTTTAAGTAAGTCGATAGCTGAAAAAATTTACGATAGATTCAACGAATAAAATGTGAAATATGATAAGGGGCCATCCACAAGTAACGATACACGTTACCCCAGCTCTTCTATAAAATTGAGAGAGGGGAAGGAAGTAAATATCGTTATATTTTATAATATATCCAAATATCTAGTAAATGTATACAATATTTGTATTAAAACACGATATTTCAAAACCAAAATATTTTCATAATACGACCCGTTCTTTTTACCCATGGCTTCGCTCGCATAACTTCATTAGAGGCTGCTAGATGGCGCTGAAGTTTCAAAATGTTAATATTATATTTGTTTTGTTTTTTATAAAAAATATTTTATTAAACAAAAAGTATCCAATGTTCATTCTAATGTCTAACTTGTGTACAAAATTTCACGATGATCGGTTCAGTATGTTTTTACGTGAAAGAGTAACAAACATCTCTACTTTGATATTTATAACATTAGTAAGGATCCAAGAACTGGAGGGGTCAAAAATCATTAAATTCGTGTACCACAATTTACGGATGACCCCTAAAAATATTAAGAAGATATCATACATGTTACATTACAGAGAAACATATGGAGTTACACTTACAACTTGCGATTGCCTTACAGTTTCACGATAACCACTGGCCCGCGCACTATCTATGTGCTGCGGCGCGGGGGACAGGGAAGAAAGAGGCGGTCCACTGACACTCCTACCTACATACCCGAGGGGAAGGAGATTGTTAGTAATGTGGACTAAAACCCCATTGCTAGCAATATACCAAGTCAGGTTGACCTCCATGCGGTTCCCCTTGGAAACCATCATGATAAATTCATGGTGAATTTGTGTGGGGTAACTAACCTGATCTCGTGGTTAGCTTAGTTAGCCCACGTGACAAATTGGTGAACACGAGCTCACTTATCATCCTACACTGGTGCCCCGCCAGCGTAAACCGGTAGCGCAGACGGGTGCACCATTCCATTATCATACATAAAAAAAAACCTACGTAGGGTATGTAGGTTGGCCCGCCTCGCCGCACACATCCAGGGTACGGTGCAGCGGTTACAGTCAAGCTATAATCGCAATATTCGCTCTACGACAGCTATACAACCTGCGACCCAAGTCTATAACAACAATTACATTATCATAGTACAAGTAATAAAATTAATAACGAATAAGTATAACATCGTGTCGAATCTGGTGTGGAACTGTGTACAGCGACCAAATGTAACAAAACGCACCTTTAGCCCAATCACCGTTAGGCCACGCCTATATCTTTACTACAAAAAAAACTGCCTTTACACAAAACGTTATTTTACACATTTTTTAGTTTATCGCGGGGCAGCCAGCGCGCTTAATCGTAAATGTTTTTTTAATCTATTTTTGAGGCTCGTTCCCGCGTTTTGTTATGTATTTCATGTTCTTTGACTTTCTTTTAAAATTTAATTTCATATTCACATATTTTATTCGATAATGCCGAATAATATCCTCAAGAACTCCACAGACTATAAAATTAAATTTTAAAATAAAGTGTAAAAACACGATAAATATTGGATATATTTTTCATGTTTTTACACTTTATTTTAAAGTTTAATTTTATAGTATGTGGACATACTATATTATACGAAAACATCTTTAATCTTTATAAATTATCAATAACTCTATAATTACATATTTGTGGAGCAAATACATAATTATAGAGTGAGATCCGCCACTTTGCTATGATATTTAATTATTTTAAAAAGGTGCTATTACACGCCCGATTGAAGACGCGTGAATGTGCAATTTACGTGCTCATTCATTCGCACGTGAAATAGCGTACGTATAAAGGCAGCTTTTAACCAAAATCATTTTCCGGCCGTTTCGTTACCTCTGGACGCTACAGTCACGTTTTATAGCCCAACTAAATTATTAATTCATGCCAACAACGAAAATAAAAAAAAATAACAGTGTCTGTTTTTAATGTAAAAAAGACTATGTCCTTAAAAATTCAATACACAAGGTCTATATAATTATCTATATATAACATATATCAGAAAAGTCATCAGTTTCAAATAATACCAGCCAACGATAGCTCGCGAGCAAAACTATGAGTGAAGAAATCTCTACAAAGTATATATGTCCGTAACGCCTTGTATTTACAAGTAATTTAGAGAAAGTCTGAAAAACAAAGTTAAAAATTAATAATAACATTTGCTTCGTTTTTTTTTTAAGTTTTATGCTAATCAATAAATTTTACTCAAGAATTAATAATTAATAATCTAGATTTAAAGCAAGATTTCAACAAAAAATAAAATATTGACAATAATAAACTTCGAATTGCAATCAAAAGTCATCAACACATCTATTACAAAATTATGAACAAAACTGAAGGATTTTTCGGTCACGAAAAAACGTGAAAAAGGTCGGGTGAAAAAGGTAGACAATATATCGTGTTGAGAGAAAGAGAAAGGATGGTAACGGCGGAAGGAGGTCAACGGCAGTTCGTTAGAATTTCACTTCTACTATGGGTTCCAACACAATACTTTTTTATGTTATCTATAGTAGTTTATCCCATAGATGCAAGGCGACGGACAATAAATACTGTAGAGATGAAGATATGAAGGAATCTAGACTGGGCATGGTTACATATCCTGATATACCATATTAACAAATCATACTCGCATCTCATATTGAAGTATAAATATATCAATATTTAACATTGGGCAGTATTTCAGTTATAAAATAAATATTACTGTTGTACTGAATTGTATTCTTTTTAATGCGAGGTTTATTCTTCATGGAAAGTCACCTTAAAAAAATATGACGCGTCACTTACCTTGAAGTTATATTCTTATAACAATCACCAAACCCGGTATTATCCGAATAAAAAAAAAAAAACTACAAAATTTGTAGAAATAAAAGGTTATTTTTTAATAGCAACGAGGTAGATTGATAGCGTAAAAAAGTGTGTGTATATATACAAATGAGATAAGATGATGTGAGAACTTTTTACAAGTTAATTTTTTATGTAAACATTAGGATAAAGTGTGATAAAGAAACTCAGGATATATTGCGAGTAATATTCTATAGAAATAATTAAATTATAAAAAAAAAAATAGGTCAATATACCATTAGGTATATTTATAAATTTTCGAATTATTCCAAATTCAAGTTTTCGTGGGAATATCGAATGAAAATACGTATGATATTTGGAAGACTGTCAAAATAGAAAACGGACGAATCAAAATGGCTTCAATTAATCGCTCAGTACGATTCTCCATTCATTTATAGAAACATTTACATTGGAATAAAACTTATAAAATTGCAGTGACATATGTAGAAACGTGGCAAAGGAACTATCACCTTATCTTATGGCCGTCTAGTGAGATATTTCGGAAAGTTAAGAGTTAGCGTTACACTTATGAAATTTTGAGTATATTTTGTTAATACGACTTCATCCAGTCTGTCGCCGGCACAACTCAACACGTCACGAACCATTCGGTGTCCGACTGCGGCCGTACGGCGCGGCTCCACCGCCGCCAGCACCACACCGAACCGACCGAACCGAAGCGTAGTCGGAAACGATCGACGAACCGTTCACTTTTAATATTAACATTTGGCATGGATACGTTCCCGTATCGCGTTCGGGGCGCGCGTCGCTCGGGCCCCGGGCGGCGGTAGCGTTCGTTCAGGATCGGCCGCTACACTTAAGCTAAATGGCAGTCGACTACGTACAACTAGGATCGTCCCCTACGTGCCGTCGGCGGCGCCGGCGTGCAGCTTCTCGCTGCGCAGGAAGTCGATCTGCGTGTAGGTGCGGGGCGCGGGCGCGGCCGGGCCCACGCGCGGCTCCAGGTCCAGCGCGGCGTAGTTGAGGGCGGGCCCCGCGGGCCCCGCGGGCCCCGGGGGCCCCGGCGAGGCGGGCGCGGGCGAGGCGGGCGGCGACTCGCGCACCACGAACCGCGCCGGCGGCCCGCCCCCCGCGCCCGCCACCACCAGCGGCGTCGTGCTGCGAGTGCTTGCCTCCGCTGGAAACATTCCTTGGAGGTTTACGGGAGTCGGAGGTGAAATGTATCAAGTGACATTCTTAAGAGAATCTTAGGTAACGAGTACTAATTTTATTGAAATAACGTTTACGATATAGCACAGATTAAAAACATCCTTTTAGTGTACCCACTTTAAATCCTTCTTTATTACCGTAGAAAATAAGAAGTCGAGAAATTAAAACTTCTCCTTTTTAAGTCCTTAGAAATTCCAGTACGTATATGACTTTAAAAATGTATAAGGGCAACGTCGACTAATATCAAAAGGATCAATTAATAGTTTCAAAAATAGCGGCGGTAAACTTACGATGTAGGTTAAGCAGCGGGTGCGGGCGCCTGTCGGCGGGGTTGATGGGCAGGGCGGGGTCCGCGGGCCCGGGCCGGCCCGCGCGCAGCACCACGTACTGCGGGGACTGCGACACGGGCGCGGGCGGCGGCGGGTGCGGGGCGTGCGGGGCGTGCGGGGGGTGCGGGGCGGCCGCGGGGGGCACCGCCACCGGCGCGGACTCGGGGCTGCGCCGCCCGCACTCCTCCGACAGCTCGCGGACGGTCGACAGCTGCGGCTGACTCCATTCTTCTGTGACCAGACAACGTATACCATTATCTCCACACTAAATCACTAATTTATAGTATGGTTATATGACTATACACCGTAAAGACATCCCTCGCGACAACGTCGCCCGAGATTCGTTCTTATTGATCCCCACAATCCCATAAAGGCGTCTAACCTGGCTTCCGACTCTACCACGCTAACACAAAAACACATGACACCGTCCTCGCCGGCGAAAACAATGACCTCAACCAGACTAACCAACGCCACCGAGCGGGCTACCACGCGCGTTCGGGCATTCAATAACAGTGCCCCCAGTCGGCCCTCCATCCAGTACGGGAATATTAAACAGGGATCAAAATTACGACGGCCTGAGTCAAGGTTCCAACCACTAACAGTATCCTCAGATTAAAGTCGTATTCGTCAGGGCAAGCGTTAGCTCTCAGCCACTCCATAAGTTCATGGATGATGTTAAGCAATTGAATAGTTTGAAAAAAAAAAGCTGGATCGGAGTGCCCAAGTGCCATTAACTTCAATTCAACACAACCCTTGCTTCATTCACAATCATAACCGGTATCAAGGATGTACGCCGATTCCGGGGACTATAATCCTGCATCAAGTCTTCGGCCGGCCATATTATAATAAGAACACTAACCTCTAGGAGAATCTTCAAACATATCAGCCGCATCCAGGTCCGGTATTGATATTGGTAAATCAGGCGAGAGCGGAAACAACATCTGCGATCCCAACGGCGTTCCGGGCTCGCGCTCCCGCTCCCTCTCGCGTTCTCTTTCTCTTTCCCGCTCGCGCTCCCGCCTCCGCCGCGCCTCCTCGGGGGGCGACACGCTCAAGGGGACCGAGGGTATCCGCGCGGCGATGGTGATGGGCCGCGTGGGCGCCCTGGTGTAGTTCATCTCGACGTAGCCGTCGGGCGTGGCCGCGGGGGACAGGGTCCCGGCGGGGGTGAGTGTGAGGGGTGTGAGGGGCGTGAGGGGCGTGAGGGGCGACAGGGGCAGCGTGGGCGGCGAGCGCGGGGCGTCCCCGGGCCGCATCTCCACGTAGCCGGTGTTGCGCGGCGACATGTTCACGTACTCGTCGGCCGCGCCGCGCCCGCGCACCTCGTTGAATCCGATCATCGACGGCGGTGTTCGGGCCACTACCACCTATACCAAAATGTTTTCTAATGTTAGAATACGAGGTTTTTTTGTAATATAAACTAGCAGTGCTCGTGTGAAATTTCTAGTCTATGTGTTATTCTGATGTATAAACTATATTATTATAAAGTTTCATTAAGGGGGTCTTCCTATGTGACGGCCTGTTTTTTAGGGATATTTTAGGATTTTTTTTCTACGACCAGTAAATATTTAGAGCTTCAAGTTTTTTATCATTTATTAACACATATTTGGACAGTATAAATATAAAATTTCAGCTAAAAATATTCAGTCAAACTAGAGTTACAGCGCCTCGAAAAAAAGAGCTCCCACTTCCTCCACGATTCCGGCTGATCGGCTTATCTGAAAAAAAAAAAAAAACGGCGTTTTAATTTGTAGGCTTAAAAGCACGGAATGACCTATAATCAAATGAATATAAAAAAAATTGGATTTTTGATAGACATTTGAAATAAAAGTTGCAAATTAGGCGTTTTTTTTTTTTGTTTTTTGCTATAAAAAAATCGAAGTTTTGAAAATTTTCGATTGATAATAGTTCATTCCATACGTTTACATATATTGAGTGTGCCTTGTAAATTTCAAGTAATTCGGTCCAGCCGTTTCTGAGATACAATGGAGGAAAGTTTGAAAAACACAGTTTTGAGAAAAACGCGTTTAAAGTTTCAAGTCCGTTAAAAACTATTAAAATATCAACTTACTCTCAATCGGCGATGCCTGGTCCATAGAGTATTCCTTCCTCTTCCTCGTGAAACTCTTTTAAAGCAGATTGTTCAGCTCTTGAGTCAATCCTGGCTTGTTTAACGACATCACTTACGCGCCGCTCAGAGCGTAAGATTCGCTTTTCATCCCGTTTCTCAACATACGCTTGGGCTTCACGACCAACAGGGCATCCCATAATCGACATAACTTTTAAAATACCTTGAAAACCTTCATTAAAGATAATAACTGCTAAGTAGCTAGCAATTTCAACAACTTTGGGACCAGAATGAAGATGTTTAGGAGCGAAAGTCCAAATCAAAGAATTCAAAGATTCGTTATTGTTTTGTGTCTCTGCTCCTAAACAACGAATTAATAATTCGTCTTTCGATAAATCTTCGAAAACCGGTTTGATAGCTTCTTGGACTTGCGGAATTAGAGGTGGTTTATCGTGATGAAATTGGTCCAGTTCATTATTAGCTTCAGCCTTACGCCATTTACACCAACTGTCTTCGCCTTCTGGACAAAATTGATGCTGAGGGTTTTCATCAGAAGAACATTTGTGATAGTACGTTGCCCAAACTTCCTTTCTCATATCTTCAAGCGAATCTGGATGGCGTCGAATTGCTAATCCGTAGAATTTTGTAATTTCTTGGATAACTTTATCAGTAAGTTTACCTGCTCCTTTTCCTCCTATTCCTTTATTGGTTTTATCCTTTTTAAGTCTGTAGAAACGTGTCTAAACTTGTATAAACAAATATATTAATAAAAGGGAGGCCAGGTATAAAGCCGACGGTACACAATAGGCCCGGTCTCTAACTGCCAACTCACCGCTCCGAACCGCTCTTTCTTTTACCTGCTGTATCTTTAAAACGACTTCGAATTTTCTAAAATCGCTTTACTACCGTATTCTAGACATGTTAAGGGAGCAATTTATGAAAAAAAAAATCGATTTTTTCAACCCATCACATAGGAAGACCCCCTTAAAATCCATTTCGTAGTTTTTGCCTGAAAGAGTAACAAACATCCATCCATACTCACTTCCGCGTTTACAATATTAGTAAGAATTAAAATTGGTTCATTAGCTGATTGCTCTAAGGAAATAGCTGTTGGTCCTTCGTTGATTACTGAATCACATTGATTCACCATCCAGCAAAAATATTTCCAAACCGATACGATATTGAAACCTTCGGGAAAAAAGCTTTTCCTCCTTAAAGGCCTGCAACGCACTTGCAAATCGCTGAAGTTCCGGATGTTCAAGAGTAGCGGAATACCATCAGATAAGTCACAAGTTCATTTGTGCCTTATTATATATAAAAAAATACACAATCAGTCCGTCAACAGGACAAAAAAACTAACTAAATAACATTGGTCCTTCGAGCCGGATATTGTGCCTGTATCACAGTGATGTACCTTGGCGGAGGGCGAGTTGGCGGAGAAGTCGAGCTCCATGAGGTCTTCGGCGGAGGCCCGCGGCAGCAGCGGCGCGGAGGAGGGCTGGTGGCGCGTGGCGGCGGGCGGGGGCCGCGCGCGCGCGCCCACGCTGTACGCGCGGTGCCGCGCCGCCCCGCCCCCGCCGCCGCCGCCGCCCCCACCCCCGCCCCCGCCCATACCCGGCGGACGCGACCCCACGCTGTACGCACGCGGCGGTCGCTCCTCCGCTATGATGTGCGACGTAGCCGGCTCTAGCTGGTACTCGCTGCGAAGTTCCCAATAATCATTTTTTATAGAACTGATTTCAATGCAGAGTACACGCGTAACACGTGCGTACTTCAGACGTTCATAGAAATGCCCGAAGCACGTGCCGACTCTTAATTATAATATAAACCAACCGAAAACACATCCAAAATGATACCGTATGAAAACTACGGACTGCAATATCGTAATAAACATCAAAGAGTCATCTAAACTTCACGTCTGATGAATGAACTCGGGGCCCATAATCTGTGAGGCTAAGTTGTGTATCAATCGACAGGCCACCGCTTAACTTTACTTAATCAGTTGACACAATACAAGCATAGAGAAACGTCGATTCATTTCATTTCATTCAAAAAGCAGCCTTAATAAACAAGAGTGAAATTGATTTACCTAAACCGGGGGTCCGTGGAGGGCGTGCCGCTGCAGACGGAGCCGCTGGAGGCGGACACGAGGCCGGCGGGGGGCTCGTGCGGCGCCATGGGCAGGTACCCGGCCGCGCGCGCCTCCTCCTCCACGCCCAGCGACGACGTGCGCGAGTGCTGCGCCGCCAGCACCAGGCCCCCTCCGCGACCCACCGCACTGTTCACACGAACGTTCACGGTAACCAAATCTATACACGACACGTCACGCGCAACAGGAGCGCGCGGTTTTTAAATGCAAACATATGTATTAATAATTATTTACTGAGATTTAAATAACCTAATCTTTATCACACAAGCAAAAAAGACAACAGAAATTACCTAAAAATGCAATAGGGCAAGTGAGAAAGAACATATTTGATTCTAAACGATTATAAGTATCACGCCCACATTATAGGTTCAAAAAGAAACGTTACAGATAAAAACAAATCTTTAAAGAGCTATTCTTTTGCACAGTTGATGCAACTAAATCACAGTAACAATTATTTTCTTGCAAATTGCAATCAATCAATGTAAATAATCATTCTATACAAAAATGTCCATACCTGATAATGTCTTTGGATATGTCACAGCAGTCCGGCTCCTCTGGTATTCGCGGCGTACGGCACCAGTCCACCAGAGCATCGGTCTCATCACGCGACACATCCAGACCTGCTTTCGGGAGAGATTCCGATGAATTCTCGCCATTAATACTATACACTTAGAAACTAAAATTGCTTAATCTACGTGGAAGACTTTAATCTACATCCCTTGAATTTATTTCCTGACACATATGTTCAATTTTACGTCTGATCGATTTGAAGTCTAATCGAAGGGATGACGTATTATTAATGTAATAAGCTTTAGTTAATGCTATAAAAGGTGAAACAGCATCGAATATGATGACATTCAATCGATTAATTTTAAATTAAAGATATCGTAAAATACCAGCCTATTGACTTAACGGTATCCTAAGATTATAAGTATTAAGCCAAAAACTATTATTGTAAATCATAATGCAAATTAATGAGCTATGGCTCATGTTAACTTGCATATAGTAATAATATATTTATTTTCTCCACAAAAACATCTATATAAAACCATATATTTTTGAGGGTTAAACAGTTAAAAATCATTACCTACCGGCTACTTAAATAACTACGTCACGGCAAGGTAAGAATTTCGCACTATATGAATACGACTCATTTTTAAATGGCATATACTTTATTCACACTCAGAAACCAATTTGAAATTGGAAAATAAAATAAAAAAGAATATAAAATAAAAAATAACGATAACTATTTATTTACATTAACAATTACAATAATAATTAGTTTTAGAAACGTTACAGAAGAAAACGAAGTCTATTAAGGTACTTTGGAGAACTTTTATAATCCCAAGAATATATAGAGTGAAATTTGATACAGCTACTTAAATTAGTGATAATACGATGTTGTCGGTTGAGACGAAGTAACAGATGAGAGTGAAGTAACTAAATGTACATTATAATATCGATCTTATATAGTAAATAAACAATAGTAAGATGTTAGGTGGGGTGACACGGTTTGCGCAGTGCTTAGCTTAGTAATACAATATTTATATTTGTCAGGACAGTAGGCTTTAATTAATTGCAAGTATTACATTGAAGTATCTAGGTAACTAAGTATATATACATTTAGCTACACCTCTCGGTGTACAGCAAACTATTAGGATCCAAAATTCTAAATTTGCTTCGAGCCGAGAAATTTGATTTCAATATGGGATCACGAAAGGCGACGTGTCGATCAACATGGTATTGAAATCTAAATTGTTTCTTTTTAGGTGCTACAATCACATTTCTTCGTCGTGTGAAAAGGTCATCAAAGTTTTTGTGATAGAATCCGAGATTCGTCAGCATCTTCAAACAAATTATCATCATCTGCTTCTTCCTTATCCCATTTATTCGGCGTAATATGTTTTTCTCTTCCATTCATTCCTGTTCGCAGTTATCTCGTTATTTTTACAATTTTTGTTTTGTGGATTATTTGTTTAAACACAATACTATTTTTACATGCCATTGCTATGGTTAAACGTAGTCTTATTCTAAAATTGTCATGTTTTGTACTGTTTATTGAGCAAATAAAGAAATTATTAAAGCTTTATGTTATGTATTGATAGAATTATCCGACTGCATTCAAATTGGATTAGGTTACGCATTGTCTAATTTAGACTGGTAGTTCCTAGCCCGATTCATCACGTTTAATATCTCTACCTTCGCATAATGTTTCTGGTCCTCGTTTAACTTTTTTAGCATTGGTATTAACATCATACTGAAATGTCTGTCTTCATCCATTTCATCATTATCATTTAGTATGGTTTCTTTATGTGTTCTGTTTGAAGAAACATATAAGTCATGACTTTTGACATTGGTTCCTAAATTTCCGTGTCTTCTATTTACATTATCAACACATGGTTTTAAATTTACGTATGCATTAATTTCTGCCTCACGACAGAATGATTCTCCTTTAACATTACTTGGCATAGACAAAGCACGTGTATTAAAACTTCTAGTTCTAACTTCATTTCTTGAATATACGTTGCTTCTCTCTTCCCGTCGTATAGAAGCTAATAGGTGTAGCAAAGAATCGGAGGACATGTACATTCTATTATTTTTAAACGTGTTTACTCCAAAACATTCCTTGATAGATGTCCAATGTGTCTTGAAATTTCCTGAAAATAACATTCATATGCTATATTCAATTGTAGTATATACACTAAATATATATATAAATAATATATTTACTATATATTTGAATAATTATAAGAATCTGCTATAGACCTACATGAATAAAGATGTTTTGATTTGAATAGCTAAGAAAATTTATATTATATAAAATTTTCAAATAGAGTTGTGTGTTTTACATATATAGTGTGCCCATTATTGTATAATATGTATGTAAAATATATTATATAAAGGATTGTAATCCTTAATTAACAAGAATTTAAAGTTCTAAGTTATCTGCACGAAAACTTTGCCACTACCTGATAGGCAGAGGTAAATATTTCTTGTTCAAAAAAAAAAGTAGTGCATGGACCTTCAGTCTATGGAAATAAGGGCGTAACTATATAAAAAATCAAACTTCATAATTATATTTTAAATATCTTTAACGTTTGTTTACACATTGTATATATAATTATTGTGATTACATATTTTACGATCTCTCAATATTTCAGTTAAATTTCCTGATCGGAACCCATATCAAGTTATAACTTAATGTATAAAATAATTATATATCAGTAATATATATATAACAGAATACTCTACACATATATAAATAAATATCTCATATTCTGAACCAAATTATTATTATCAATTCACATATACAAAAACAGACTTACCATCGTATTCATACTATACAATCTCTCCATCACACCGCACCGTACAATTACTTGTTGTATTGTAACATACAGTTATTTTTTTTTTAATACCTGTAACGTCTATTCAGTCATCTAATTGCCATGTTACAGTACTGGTAAGGACTAACCTAACGTACTGGGAGAAGGGGATTGTTAGTAATGTGGACTAAACCTCATTGCTAGCATGTACCTTGTCAGGTTGACCTCCACGTGGTTCCCCCTGGAAACCAACGTGATAAATACCTGTTGAATTTACCACGGAGGGCTAACTGACCTGACCTGCTCATCTTATCATCCTCCACTGGTGCCCCGCCAGCGTAAACCGTTAGCGCAGGCGGGTGCATCATTCCATTATCATCCATAAAAAAAAACCTAACGTACTTCCTTACATTTTAATATATAACATATCTGAGTGGAAACTCTTGTGATGTTTTGCCATAAAAACTATATTTATTATAAACATATTTCAATCATATTTTGTACATGTATATAGCATATTTCATTTGCATTCAGTTTTATGACTTTTTAAAAATCCTTACCGTTATAAAAGCTCACGTCACAATATAAACTTACTACAAAAATAAAGAATTTTATTAAAAAAAATACTAGTTTTGTCTATACGTTGGTAGTCAATTATTTTAAAACCTTTGTCGTTTGTAGCAACATCAAAGTGAAAGAAGTTGCTTCTTTCTTCCTTCAAAAGTAACGAAATTTAATTAAAATAATGATTACTAGTTTGTCTATACGTTGATAGTCAATCAAGACCATTTTATTAGTACAGATTAAACCTTACCTTCTACGAGATCATTGTGCCTCGGCGTCTGCCGCTCCGCTTCGAATGAGATACACGCTCTCGAGGGCATACTGTCGCATCGGTTCCGCGGCGCGCCCGCATCTGCGAACAAACAGTTGCGCTACAAACTGCCTACCGATTCTGTCACACAACTACGTTTCATCAACATCGAAATGAACTAAATACAGCTATATTTTTTTTAACTTAGATTTTTTTGTTGTGTTGTTTGGGCTATTGTCTGGTGCCTGTAACACCTATAGCACTGCGACCTACATAGATCTATTGCGTTCGCTCTTTTTCAGAGTTCACTACCTAGACCCGTCAGGGACAAGAATTGAAGGATATTCTTAGGAGCGATAGTTTTTTTAACTTAACTGGAATTGATATTTGACATTGTTTATTTATTTTTATGGCACTGTTTTTATATATAGAAAGGTATTAATGCAACATATTTAAATGGATTTTTACAATTTGTTTAGGTAGAGAAATAGATATGAGAGGAAGAGTAGTTGATCTATATAATAACATTGATAATACATGAATGAAAATAATCTGAAATATATACTAATACAGCTGTTTTAAAGTAATTAAAAAATAAATTCCAATTTTTGCAAAATAAGAAACTATAGTTTAATGAATAGTAAAATAAATTGTATTTCATTTATATTATATGACTATAAGTACAGTCAGCTAAATAAATGTTTTAATAATTCAAATCGGATATGTATTGACTTGAATTTGAATATTTTGTCTATAATTATCGTAAAACAGAATACATAAATAATTCCCTAACTATAAAAATACAATTTATTGAATAGTAAATTTCGATGTTGACGTTTTTGGAGACTGAACATTTTTCATACCACAAATATAAGTACATATATAAATATATATGACAATTTACTTATTAAAAACAAAATATATATAAAATATTGTAGACTAATATTTGCGGTAGATGTATAACAACATATAAAACATAATTAAAAATATAACTTTGCGACATAAATATTAATTAATAAGCTCATATAGGTTTAAAAGCATTTTATATAAAAAGAAAGCGAAGCATTGTTCGAGAAAATCATATCTCAACAAAATATAACAATAAAAAAAAACTGCTCTTTGTGTTTTCAATAGAAAGTAAAATGGTCGATTACTTATACATAAAGATACAAGACAACACAGAAGCAAACAATATTCACCAAGGTGCGCGCAACAAACTCACAGACGAAGCTACATACACATAAAAACATAAACACATCACAGACTTGGCGGATTTCATAATCTTTTCTTATACTATAAAATAACAATCATTATAAAAAAATATATCAACAGTTGTATATTACAATATATATATACATATATATAAATGATTTAATTATGAAATGCAGTTGATAACAATTCATATTGCAACAGATTAAAGTCTACTTTGCTAGTAACATTCAGTTGCAATTGCAAACTGTACTAGCTTGTAACTGCTGATTATTTTTATTATTTCGCGTTTAATACACTTTACTAATATAGTAAATATATTACTATTAGAGAGGTAATGTATTAAACCTTATTTAAAACTCGATTAAAACTCCAAACCTATTTTAATCTGCTACAATTGAGAATAGCACTATATAACTATCTCTGATATATTAAAAAAAGTATATAAAAAAAAATACGAAATCCATAAACACCGAACGAAATGTTAGTAATGTGCGTTGATGCGTTAACAAGCGCGTGAATGTACGTACTCTTTGGGTGTCCGGGCGACCTCTTTGCCATCCTGGTGCCCGTGCTGGCCCGGCGCGCCCACTGCGCCTTCAGTGGGAACCCATCCGTGCCATTAACCGCTTTACACGACGAGTGTGTGGTCATCTTGTCTATATTCGTACTCGTGATGCGGTCGACCTCGTCCCCCGTCAGCGGGGCCGACCTGGTCCTCTCGTGGACTATCTTGAGAGGCTCTTGGAAGAGCGTGCAACCGGTCGGTAAGGACACGGTGCGGTGATGTTTTATGATCCGAGCGGTTTCCGGCTTATCACTAAGTAATGAGTTATTCGGTGGTTGGTTTTCGGCTGCGAAACATGACAAGCGACACATAAAACATATGGCACCAAGCGTTACCCAGTGCGAGGGGATGTCATGTTAATGGAAGGGAGTGGTGATATCTTTTAACATTAATACACAATGATACGGTTAATTTGATTAAACATACAAAAAATATCACGACTTTATAACATTCATGTATGTTTTGAAAAAATAAAACGCAGCAAAGATCGTATAATACAGAATAACCAGAGCCAGATCAAGATAAAAAGCATTTATTTATATTGCACTTTTTTAGTCACTTATGCTATTTTTCTATATAACGACCCTGAGGACCTATTGAAACTAACACTTTTAACTTTTTGTCTTTTGTTCTTCTTTTAAATTAATATAATATAGCTTTTACCTGCGACTTTGTTTGTGTTGCATGGCATACATTTTATAGACGGTTGCTTTGTTAATATAAAAAACAAACACAAAGATTTATATAATGGAATTGTAATATACTTTTATTAGCATTACAACACTACACACAGTCATAATAAATTCTTCTCCGGTATAAAGAGAAGTTTCGGCAAAATTGGATGAATTGTTGAGGAATACTATAGAGGCAAACTTACGAACATTTATTTATTAATTAAGGTACATATATATATATATATTAACAATAGCCTAAATATAACTACGACTGTACAATAATTGATCTTTGCCACGTTTTTTTTAATATAATCCATTTAATAGTATGTAAATATGTGATACACACCAATAACCATGACCATACTACCATGTACCATCACCAAAACTGCAATTACTACGATCTAAAATGGTTGCTATGTATATAAAGAATAGTGTGACGGTGTATCCGTATACCATAAGAGAAAGCTCAGACAATACAATACAGCACCAAGATCATAACACTCGAGCGCCATCTAGTAAACTAAGCAGAACTTGCAATATGGTAATAAATTAATGACTAATACTTAAACACTTTTTTTTATTTTATAAACACCATTTATAAAATATAATAAAAAAAAAAGGTCTAGCGGTTTAGCACATCACTTTACTTCCTATGGTCGCGGTTCGTTTCCCCACACTGTATAAACCATTGTATTCAGAGTATGATTATTTGTATCGGCCTGGGTGTTTCCTATGTATATTATTATGTATGTATTTTAAAATAACTAAGTATTTATATCAGTTGTCTAGTATCCATTACACAAGCTCTGCTTACCTTTGGACTAGATGACGTTGTGTAAAATGTCCAGGGGTACTATTATTATTTTATTTAGCATTAATAATAAAAGTATGGACACATACTAATTCATATAGCAACCATAATATCGTACTAACTACAGATTTAAAGTCATACATGCACCATAACTACAACCCGAATAAAACCATAATGCTCACAATACTAAATATCAACCATAGACATAGATACAAATAGACCCCGCAACTGTGTTAAATTTCTATCCTTATTTCCATAGAAAAACACAAAATCTATTTGGATTCCAACTACAATTTGGAGTATCTATAAAGATTGAGGTTGATAAAGTATAAATTTTTAACAAAAATCATATAAAACATAGTGTGGCAAATACGGTATCAGTAGCTGAAAATTCAACGAAATTCAAGTAATAATTATTAACTGAGAGAGAAAATTTGCAATTAATAAAGCGACATCAGAAGTTAGTAAACGTATATCGTCTTACTAAATTCAGATATAAAAATGGAAGAGAAAAGAAAGTAACATGTGTTTCGAAAGAGCGAGATAAAAGATATAACGTTCTCTTTCCACACAGAATAAAAGATTTGCCGCGTCTATTTTACTCTATATCTATGGTATCATAATGTAAGAGATACGTACTGTACATGCAGGCATAATACTAGGTAATGATAAATAAGTTATTTACATAAATTATAGATATATTTCCGTCCATAGTATCAGTAGCTCCATGTACTTAAAACAAACACCCAAGCCAATATAAACACATATACTCATTAATAATTGTTTGTATTATGCTACAAGCGAATCGGAACAAAAAATTAACCAATAATTCTAGATAAAGCCATTCACTATATATTATGTCATAAAAAATTATTTCATTAATAGAAATACGAAAACATAGAAGTTCATTCAATGTACATAATTATAAACATATTAGTATAAGCAACATATGTTTAAAAAAAATGTTGATGTTTAATGTCTAGCTTTTTATGAAACAGAATCTTTCATTAATAGAAAGACATAGTAAGTTCATTCGATGGAAATAATTAAAAACATACTAGTATAAGCAACAGCAATAAAAAAAAATACATGTTGAAACAGGCAGTGCCGAATCAGCCTAGCAACAAATACTATAGGCCCCAGTCCTATCTTAACATAATCCAAAAATAACAGTTATAACGTATTTCAGAGTAATTTTATGGCAAATAAAACTATTAACTATGCTAATAATGTTTACAAAACGAGAAAGTTTTTTAAAATCTATCTAGACACTAACTGTGCCCGCGGTTTTACCCACGTTAAATTACAATACAAAATATAGCCTATGTGTTATTCTGATGCATAAGCTATATTACTGTAAAGTTTCATTAAAATCTGTTCAGTAATTTTCGGGTGAAAGAGTAACAAACATACATACTCACAAACTTTCGCGTTTATAACAAAGTAATATATTTTTAAGTGTGTACACTCGACGCTATGTGACGACCGCTCTCCTGGGACACGTCTTTGGCAAATTCTTATGACCTTGTCTAGATTGTGGTGATCACACTGCAACAGTCCCTTGTATGTTGGATTCTGAGTGCGCATTTAGCCTGACGTTTGAGCCGATGTGCCCTTTCATTGTGGTGTCCAATTCCACACCCATTCAATTTTCTTCTAGAATGAACTCCATTATTTTGAGGTAGAGTAGCGCCGTAATGTTATATAAATTCACCATCTATTTCGGACCGGCTTTCTGGACTGCCGTCCATATTTAATCCACTTTCACACTACACCACACCAACAACATACAGTGCTATTTAATTGTATTACTGATTTACACAACTTTATTTGTATGAGCGGACGCAGTGGCGACCTCTTGTCCAATTTCATACGATTCAAAATAAGTTTTTTTTTTCAACAGCGTTACATAATATAACCCATCCGTTTGTTGTATATTTTACTTATTAGGTTCAGTTAAACATGCTTAATTGTTTGAAACCGTTAACATCACGATTAACGAATAACACAACAATAAGTACAACGACCACAAACTTCAACATGTCACATGACTTCACGGAAGGTTTAAATAGAAAAGAAAAGATTGAAAGACTGATTGAAATCACATCAGTCTATGTAGTTGTAACGTAATTGAACAAGATGAGAAAGTATAAAGAGATCAGAATGGAGTTTAATTATGTAATACAATTGCTAACAATTCTAGATTGAAATAGATTAAAATCAACGTCAAAAGACAGTTGTAGTTGCTAACCATACAATGTTGTATCCTTCACAACTGAAACTGAAATGGTTCATACAAAATCGTATAATTATAGATTTTAATCTGTTACAATTGAGAGTAATTAGCGAGTGTTTTACATAATAACCCCTCAGGAAATACTATGAATAGCAAGAGCCAAACCCAGATAATGTTGCAATGAGTCCGATTATGTCAAATGAAACTGCTAATGTCACAAGCAATGTAACATAGAAATGTCAACAACAAGATGATGTCATTCAAATTAGAAGCTTTCATAAGCTGGTTAATTAAGGGTCGATAACACTGTATAAACAACATATATTAGTATCCCATAAGTTTCTATTTTCCCAAAAAAATGTATCAAATTCAATTATTTCATAAATATACGATTTCTGATAAAGTTTATTTTGGTACATGAGTGTTTTATCACTGTTTAAATCTACTCCAATGAGTATGTTATAATATTAATTATCAACTACAATATTCGTAATAATGTCTGCTGAGAATTTACTTCTAATTTCATTTCTCCGACCTCACAATCAGAATGAGAGAAAAAGTGAGTTATAGGGAGATTGTTAAACTAAATCGTCAGTTATCGACTCGCCACTGAATATAATTATGTCTAAGAAAAAGGTCAGTGGATTATTCTAACACAATATTCTTTTGACTTTAAATCATTTGATAATAGAAATGTACAGATGTACTTTTGTCCTTATTAATAAAAAAGTTAATGTTTATATTCGAAATCAAGTTCCATAATTTCGAGTAACAGCTAATTTTATAATACTAAAACCAGTGTTGAAACACAAGGTATCTATAATACATAGAGACTATGATACACTTAACTATAATGTAAGGCCTAACCAAAACATTAGATACAGTTATCGACCCGTTACATAGACTGTTAGCAGAGCTCAACGTCGAATAGACAAGCATACGAGATCACGAGGATAAGCGTTCTAATCTTCTTGTTTGACCACTATAACAATGACTGTGGAATCACATCAGACTATATCAAACTGAAAACCTCTATGAATTTCCTTTAAAATGTTAAATAAATAAATGTTAACATTACTATAATTCTATAATTAAATACATATAATTATATAATTCTATAATTAAATTATTATTAACATTAATTTAATTATACAATTTTATATAGCGGAAATTTTAAAAATAGAACATTAAGTCACGTTAATATTTACAATAATTTAATTATAGAATCATAAAGCGGAAATTTTGAATATAGAAATCTAATGACGTGACAAGTCTGTTGCGTCTCCACAGTGACACGTACGCGTGAATGATCCGTACCGTTTTTGGGCGTCAACGGCGCTATAGCTGCCGCCGAGTCGTCTACGCTGTACGTGGCTGTTGAGCACACGCAATTTCTAATACACGAGCCAACACACAGGCCCTTGTCTGCAATAGATTGTGCCAATTACACTACATCCAATTATAGTTTTATTATAATTTAGAATTTTCCTATCGCTAGCAGTGAACTTTGATTTGCAATTAATTACGCCCGTTCATATATTTGGACATGTTTTTTTATTAACAACGCGCTTTGTACAGTCAAACAATTTGCGCATTATTTACTAGGTATACCCCGCGGCGTTATCCGCGTGTAATACAGCTCGTGTTATTTGGATAACGTAGCTTTCTATATATGAAATTATTTTTGTTACGAACAAGTATTTTTTTTTTACTACAACAAAAAATATTTATTTTAATTTCTATAATATTAGTGTAGATTATTCATAATCAAACATTAGTAGTTTTAATCACAAAAAACATATCTAAACAGTATACAAAAGTCTTAAATATCGTTATTTACAAATGTTATTTTAATTAGTTCTTAAAACCACTAGGTAATTTTGTACAGTGGAGAAATAAAAATTTTTACACTTTAATCTAAATATGTCATAAAGAAAAGAATACGATCCACTATTAGTTTCAAATTAACCCCACTTAGAAATAGAATACGATCCACTATTAATTTGAAATTAACCCCACTTAGAAATAGAATACGATCCACTATTAATTTGAAATTAACCCCACTTAGAAATAGAATACGATCCACTATTAATTTGAAATTAGCCCCACTTAGAAATATTATTAATCATAACGACACATTTTTAGGTACAGTCAACTACATATAGATATAGAACGTGCTTTACGTTCTATATCTATATGTAGTTGACTGTACTCTCCTACATAAAATTGATACCTAAAAATTTGTTTTCCAATTTTATAGATGTTCTTATGTATCCTATACATATTAGATTCCTTTTTGTGCTCAAGGCTTGAAACTTGAGACGGTAGTATATTGGCATCTTACTCCTATGCCACGCTTAATATTTACATATATAGCTACATTGCTTAACTGAAGTCAATATTATTTCTGATTCGTACTGTGAACTTTTCCACGCGGATTTTCCCGCAACGGGTATAAAGGAAATAATTATTATCTTTACTACACAACTAAGTGTATGAATATATCTATGTAGGTGTTACACTTGGCAATAGGCCAAATCCCTCAATAAAAAAACTGTACGAACTTTGACCGCTGCGGAAAAACACCGCGCAGTATTATCCTAGATAACAAAAGTCCTTAAATTTCAAAGACATATTTTTTCCATGTTAATCGTCGATCTGTCTCAAGACTGAAAAACTGCTTAATTTGTTGGCAAAGGGGTTACCACCTCTTCTGCTTTCCAACATTACAATTCTCCTATTCAATATCTTGACCGTGTTAGAAAGTAAATAAAATATCTTATATTTTTCCATATATAATTTTGCGGGAAAATTCGCATTTGCGATAATGATTCGCGGCAAAAATTCGCATTGCGTCATCACTCGCACGTCTCAATTTGCTACCCAGGTAGGGCCGATATCATCATCATCATCTCAGTCCGGAAGACGTCCACTGCTGGACATATAGATACGATGTCAATTTGTTAGGATCTATATCGGCCCTATGGCCCATTTAGATCCTAACAAATTGACACGTGAGAAATGTTGTATTATATACTAGCTACCAGCCTCGGGCGATGTACTAGATCCTAACAAAGTGACGCCTGAGAAATATTGTATACTACTATTACATAGCTACGAGCCCCACCTTCGCACAGGTGTACATATATCATACATATAAAACATCCTCTTGAATGACTCTATCTATTGCTAAAAACTGAATTAATATCCATTGCGTACTTTAAAAGATCTATGGGTACAGACAGCGGAAGTGACTTTATTTTATGTAAAGATACAACACTCCATTGGTATAGTTAACATAAATATATGCAATACAAATATAGTGCGACTATATTGGGGCCGACTCGTCTCCATCTATCCAACAAACTAGTACATCGAGAACTTGTTCCGAGAGCTTCGAGAGCAATCGAGTCCTACATTCAATAATATAGAATTTAATTGAATACAAACTTCAGATATTGACTACTACTGACGAAGAGTCGTATCACTATTTTTATGACTTGTTTCTTTATCTTTTGCATTATAATGTACATATACTCCTAAATTTTCATTCTTCTACCAAGAAACCCTATTTATAATAGTAATATTAATTTATATGGCAAAACAACGTTTTCCAAGTCAGCTACTATTACCACAGATAATATAATATTACGTACTATAACATTATGTTAAAGTTTTCGAATGAAGCGAGGACTGCAGATTTTTTACGGCCAACATAGTCTTAACGGGAAAGTCGGGAAACGAGTAAACTTGTCATATCATATTTATAGGGACAGGAGACGAATTTTCTCGTTGTTACGTGAAAAGATACGGCGCAAATTTGAACTTGTAAATATAAAAATGTCATATAGAACGTAAAATATGATTTTTGTAAGGAAAATCAATATTAATGTTAGAATTTTTAAAAATCTCCCTCTTTACGCCGCGTTTTGGAGGGAAAATGCTAGACTATATAATGTTAAACAAACCTTGAGTTTTTTTTATAGACAACTGCAATGACAACATTGGTAATCAAGCATACAGCCTGTCTTATAGTTGTATCATCTCTATTAAAACGTCTCCCAATAAATATACCTATATCGTTCTTGAATTTTTTAATTTTTATTTTTTTATAACACAGGGGAGAAACGGGCTTGCGGCTCACCTGATGGTAAGTGATTACCGCCGCCCATAAGCACCCGCAACACCAAGGGAATTGCAAGTACGTTGTCGGCCTTTTGAAAAGGAATAAGCTCTTTTCTTGAAGGTTTCAATATCGTATCGGTTCGGAAATACCATTGCTGGAAAGTGATACCACAATGTGGTTGTGCGAAGCAAAAAGTTTCTAGAAAACCGCATTGTAAACCTGTATTCATTCAATGTTTTTTTTGTGATTTATCGTAGTTAAAACACTAGACTAAACTAGATGAGACCAACCCAAAAGATACCCCATAAGTGCTATATTCAGTCAAAGCATGAACAAACTTCCTGTAATAATTTAATCAACGATCTATTATGGAACTATACTACTGGTGCGTATTGGAGTTAGTTACAATTCTAAGACTACAATTAAAATTAACAAGCGAACTAACTACATCGGATTGGCTATGCAAAAAACCATGTAACTATAAAAATGTAATAAGCAGGTTTATGATATCAAAACGCGTTTAGCATTCACTATTTCGTATTTTCTATGAAATTTCTCTATTTTATATCAACTAGTTCTCTATTGATGTGACGTACAGTCTAAAACTACTTTGGGTGATTATCTATACTAGTAAATTAAATTGAATTTTCTGTTTGTACTTTCAAATTAATAGCTTTTCACTAAATGAACATAAATACTTTCAAATTAATGGCTTTAAATTGGTTTAATTTTTTTTTGTCTATCTGTCAGTTTGTTTTCTCTAAACGGCTTGACCAATTTTAATGCGACTTTCACTCGCAGATGACTAATGTTCTAGGGTGTTCTAGTAAATGCCAAATATAAACCCTCAGGTCCTATATTCATCACCCAAAGTGATCTAGATGCCTGAATACGTCAATTCATTTTACGCGGAAAACGATATACCAATTGCTAATATAGAGAGAGCTTGGCAACTAGTGAATTATAGGTATTGCAATTATCCTTATTATATTGAATAATGCTAATTGCGTATAATTAAAGGTACAATACCAGTTACCTAATCAATTCTTGTAATAAAAGCGAAATGTACAGTCCGCTTCATATCTTAGTATTGACAATATTGAAATACGTTCTAATATTCTATTAATACTACTTATTACTAACGTCCAATATTTATGAAGCCGACTGTACATAATATAGGTATTGAAAGTTTCATCATGAAAATACCAATAAATAACCGCTAAATAATACTTAATAAAGACATTAACCTCCTTGTTCAAAAAAACTCAACTCATTTGAACTATTGTTATCTCTCTTTCTTACAAATCAATAAAATATATAGAATGAAAGGGACAAAACAATAGCTAAAACATTTATTTAGTTTACTAGACGTTACATTTAAAAATAAAAAATAGAGAATCCTTAGGAAAGATAAAAGGGACGTCGGGGTCCCTTCAACTTTAATTGTTGAGTATACTTGGGATAATAACGTTTTTATGAATAAGGAGGTTAGTAGTAGTAGTAATAGTTAGTATTTAGTTTATTCTACGATTTGTAACTGTAACTAAGACCATTTCTACCACACAAACTACGGTATTAAAGTAGGTACTCACCGTTAGCAAGCGCCGCCCGTCCTCCCCCCTCGTTGGTGCCCGAGTACGTCTGCCGCCTCGGGGGGCGAGGGTTGGTCCCCTCCTGGCTCGCATTTGCCGGGAGGATGATGTGATCCCTCTCATTCTCTGTCATTCTGGCGCAATTCTTCATTGCTCTGGAGAATAATGAGAATTTTAATTTATTTTCTGTAGAAAAATAATGTGGGGGACTCGTTCTAACCTATAGGATGTCGCAGCTGATGGGTAGGAGAATAAATTAAAAATAGATTAATATAGACAAGGAAAACTAGTAATATAAAAACTCTATGCCATGCCCGTCGGCCTGGTAATAGAAGACAAGTCCTCCTCCAAAGATGAGAGCGTGCCCAGCCGTAAAACTATGAGCGGTTATTATATTGAAGAAATATCACGATATCACATAATATAACACAAAAAACACTTGAAATCATAATGAGATATCTTTTTTGAAGTCGGTTAAAACAGTGTCTAATATTAATAAAATTGTGGAATAATAATAACCATCTCCTCTCCTTAAGAGGGGAGATGAGATTTTTTTTTGGAAGTTAGAAATAATAAAACTCTTTATTGTACACAAAAGAAACATATAATTACAGAAAGGAAATAAAAAAAAGAAGGATATGCATACAAAAGGCGGCCTCATCGCTTAAAGCAATCTCTTACAGACAACCAGGGAGATAGAACCATTGGGTAAGGGAAAGGTAGGTGTGGAATACGCTAAAAATTAAATAAAAGTTACAAAAGTCCTAAAATCGGCGGTAGTGTGTAATGTGTAGTGTAATGTGTAGTGTAATGTGTAATGTGTAGTGTAATGTGTAATGTGTAGTGTAATGTGTAATGTGTAGTGTAATGTGTAATATGTAGTGTAATGTGTAATGTGTAGTGTAGTAAGGCGGTGTGCCAAATCGATAGACTACCAATTTGTGTGTAATCTATGTAACATACTCGTAAAAGATAACTATAATTGAGAACTTCTGTAAACTATAGAAGGGACTGTATTATTATTATGCTGGTAATTTTGTTGACGGCCTTTGTGGTCTAGCAGTTTAACACACTTTACTTTCTATGGTCGCGGGTTCGATTCCTCGCACGGTGCAAACATTTTATTCATGAGTATGATTGTCTGTATCGGCTTGGGTGTTTTCTATATTATTTACAAAAAAAATATAAGTTTATGCATCAGTTGTCTAGTACCCCTAACACAGCTTACCGTGGGACTAGGCGTTGTATTAATTGTCGAAATTTATTTATTTATTCAATACTAGCTGTGCCAGCTGATTCACCCACGTTAAATTTCAGTATATAAATTTCAATAAAAAATATAGCTTTCTGGATTATTCTAATCCATAAGCTATATTACTGTAAAGCTTCATCAAAATCCGTTCAGTAGTTTTTGCGTGAAAGAGTAACAAATATCCATACTTACAAACTTTCGATTTTATAATATTATTAAGATTAAGATAATTATGGAAAAATGAGAAATAGTATTTTTTTTTAACTTTCGTGTTTAATACACATTATTTATGTTATTAACCGGGTCTTAACACGAACTAATTTTATGGTAAATAAAGGTATCTCTAGACCTTACCTTTCTCGACGTTTCGACTAGGTTGCACTAGCCGTGGTCAGCTCGTGACCGGTTAATAACATAAATAATAAAATAGTATTTTGACATGTATCGAAAGAAAAGAAGAATGAGAGTAAGAATAAACTATTTCTCTATACAATATAATAGACAATAAAAAGCATAAACAATATATAAAAAGGTGCATAGTGCACAACCTTCAGCTTCCTCTTTTAAGTTTTTTATAAGGGGGTGGGTATAAACTCACAGATATATAGTGGAGTTCATGCTCTGTGCAATATTTGAATCTCCGGAATGCATCCACAGCTCGCCGGCACCAGTGGACGTCTGCCGACCTACTTCCATGTAGAAGAATGACTCAGAATCACCGCATCTGAAATTAAAAAGTTAAAAAAGTCAAGCAATTTTTATAACATTGAAATCGTTAATTATGTTTGGATAACAAATATATATGTATATGTAAACCTTTTACGGAATTGTTTTATAATTATTACATAGTCTAAATATATATAACTCAAAGGTGACTGACATAGTGATCTATCAACGCACAGCCCAAACCACTGGACGGATCGGACTAAAATTTGGCATGCAGGTAGATATTATGACATAGGCATCCGCTAAGAAAGGATTTTGATTAATGTAGAATTATCCCCCAAGGGGATAAAATAGGGGATGAAAATTTGTAAGAAACTTTGTCAATTTTAAACCGATCGGGCTGAGACTTTGCATGCATAAACTACTATGACGTGGGCATCCCCATAAAAAATATTTACTGAAAGTTACGTGCGGTAAATATTTTTCACAAAAAACATTTTCGTTATTAAATATTTTATACAAGTGTATTCACATTCTGTAAATATTTTTAATATTCACATCAAATTCAAAATATCTTTATTCATATAGGTCTAATACAGACTCTTATGATATGTCAAATCTACCGCCTGTTCGGAATGATTTCGAGATGAGAAGAACTGACTAGAAACTCAGCTCGTAGTCTTTTCAAACAAATGTTGTACATGTTTACAACATGTATTAGATTCATTTTTTAATATAAAATTTTATATATACATATGTATATATACGTTTAAATATTTTCTAGTGTTACCCTTTAAAATTAATCTGCACGAACCTCTCTTCATTCATTCATTACATTCTCAACAAGCACATGACCCAATACATTTACTGATAAAAAAAATAGTTAATGGTTATTCTTGACATTGAAATTCGTATTGCGTAATTTAATTTCGTAATATCATTTATCTACGTTGGGGCCATACAAACTGTTTTAGGCGATCCTTTAGACTATATTTTTCTGTTTTGGGTAGACCCCCCATTCTTACCTGGTATTGATTTTTTGTAAATTTCTAACTATGGTAAAGTTTAGTGTTAAAAGCATAAAGTAAAAACAACAAGATGACCGATTTCGTAGACCCCTTGCCTGCCATAGACCCGTAGGGGTCGATATAGACCGCTTTAGGAATCACTGCTTTAGACAGTGCGGCTAAGGCAATTTGTTCAATGGTGAGGTAATGGAGTAATTAGTTTTAGGGTACAATGGGACTGGCATGTATTTTTAGATTGATAAAAGTCCCTAAAATAAAAAAGAAATAAAAAAAAATGTCTATGTACATAAACACTAACGTTATATATATCGACATTCTATGTTAATTCTTCCCTTAACCTCTATGATCTCGCCAACCACAAAATGTTCAGTTTACACCATTGCTAGCAATGTACCACGTCAGATTAACCTCCACGTGGTTCCCCTTGGAAACCATCTTGACTAATTTTTGGAGAATTTGTCAAGATGGGCTAACTGACCTGACACCATGCTCATTTTATCATCCTCTACTGGTGCTCCGCCATCGTAAACCAAGTATTTTCTTTCTTTCCTTATTTTTTTGATTTTTACACAAAATGTTACGACAACAATCCCCACGTACCTATACTAAATAATCAATTTAAATTAAAATCAAACAAACAAAAATCAAATATCTTTCTTCATGTAGCTCTATTACAGACTCTTATATGTCATATACTACGTTATTATTATTAAAAATGAAATAAATCTTTTAATAACTACGTTTAAATCCCAAAAAAAAAACTAATGAATCTTCTATTGATTCATACAACACTTACACAAAATGTTAATCAATCTGTATAATAATCAACTTAAATTAAAATCAGACAAACAAAAATCAAATCAAATATCTTTAATCATGTAGGTCTGTTACAGACTCTTATGATATGTCAAATACTACCGTTATTATTATTATTATTAAGATAGTAAATGGTTTATTATTCAAATTCAAATTCAAAATATCTTTATTCGTGTAGGTCTATTACAGACTCTTCTTTTCGGAATGATTTCGAGATGAGAACTGACAAGAAACTCAGCTCATATTTTTTTTAATGTTGTACGTATTGACAATAATACTATTTCATTTAAATTCAAATTTGGGAGAATAGAGTAACCACCAGCATATGCTATTGAAAAAAAAAAAAACAAAAAATCTAATCAGTGTTCGCAACCTGAACAGACCAGTCCCCACAAGCAGCACCCGTTCACGAGTATGACGGATGAGCCAGCTATCATTGCACACACATATTAGAGGGAGAGACACATCGACCCATCCACCACGCCGCCACAAGTTTGAACTTTATAGCGAGCATGACTGTTTCAAGGTACTCCACTACGTTATTTATATTATTTACAGCATAAACTGTACCAATCACAGTTTTCACCCATTACAATATTTAATTTACATTATTTAAATTACAATATGATATTATGAAATAAACCCCTTAATAACTATGTTGTTTTATTGATTCAATAGGTATTCCAGTCATCATTAATTTTTAAACTCTTATCGCCACAGCCAGTATTACTTCGTTCGTATTATTTATTGTACCTATTTGCACCGCTCCACAATTCCTCTCAGTCACTCTAAGGTTGACTGGAAGAAATCCTTCTTTTTAGATAAGTCCGCCATTGTACGCATTTTTTGAAGTCAATCGTGTCCTTTTATTGTACAATAAAGTATTACAAACAAACCAGTATTAAAATCTAGACCTATTCTGTAAGCATCACTCACGAATTCGGAAGCGGAATCCGCGGTGAGATAGTACATTGGTAATCTGTAAAACTCGATAGCGACTGCAGCGCCACACGCACGAGAGCGGGACGGAGGTAAAACAGACACTAGTGATTTTTTAGAAATATAGGCAAACTCGATAGCTTAGTAGGAACTCGAAATCATTCCGAACGGACGGTAGACTTGACCTATCATTCCAACAACGAATTGTTATACCTCGACCAGACAGTCTAATCACTCCTCTCCATCCTAAGGTTGCCTGGAAGAAATCGCTATTTAGCGATAAGGCCGCCCATTGTTACCTCTATATTATAATTATTTTGTTGTTATTTTCATATTTAATGTACATATTAATTTATGTAATTATTCTTTCTGTGAGAGGAACAATAAAGTGTTTTTCATTCATTCATTTCATTTCAACTGTCTGTAATCGACCTACATGAATAAAGATACTTATTTTGTTTTTTTTTTTAATTTGTACTTTCTATTTGCAATTTGACACGAGTGCATTGAGTGAAACGAAGAATGAAATGAGTTGATAAAACGCTTACAGAATACCAGTGCTGTTTTGAAGCCTAATCGAGTTCGACACTAAACTTTTTCCTGTTGTTACAGGAAATAGCTCAGAAAACAGACTTCTAAACTATTTAAATACCTAAGTGATTTATTTATAATTATTGTGATCATTTACCTATGCCAATATTTAAGCCTGGGGCTATATATTTTTCTTTCCTTTATTTATTTGCTTATATAATTAAAGAAAAACAATCCAACCCACCTACTGATAAATAGCAAAGATGTTAGGGAGCTCCGTAGCCGTAACTGAAGCTATCGAATATCCGATATAAAAAATATTCATAACCGTAACCGAATCCGAAGTAAAAGTTTCGGATAACATCGGATAGGGGCGGAGCCTAATAGAGACACGTTATGTTACCATTTTATTAGCTATTTGTATTTTCCTTTTGAAATCCCTTAAAAAATTAGTATCCGTAACCGAAATTAATCGAAACTGATGATGGATAATCCGAAATAATTCCATATCCGCATCCGTATCCGTATCCAGTATAATTAATATAATCATTCCTATATCCGAAACCTATCCGTGTCCGAAATTTCATATCCATAACATCCCTGATAAATGGCAAAAAGATAACTAACTTTTGTCTATTAATTTCCCTTTTAATTATATCATAATGGTGACATACAATCAAACGACCTATGTAATGATGGTAAATGTATACCGTACCCTATAGGCGCCTAAACTCGAGAAATATCGTGTGCCGACCCTTAAGAAACTTTGATGTACCCTCCAAAAACAACATGCTACAGCAACTAGAAAAAACTAACTCTATCTATCTTCTTGCAAACTAAGTCTTAAAAATACTCAAAATCAGAATTTAAATATAAATAGCAAAGTTGACCTAAATAAGTAAATAGTTACTGGAGTAACAAAAGACATAGTTAATAGCTAACTAAATTTCGTATACCCGTTGTTAAGTTATAATGATAAATATCCCAAAAATATATATCTGTGGAATATTGTTGTCTATGGTAAAAATTCAATAAAGCACGGTTCTGTCTTGACATCTTCCTCCTTGGATGCATACCGAGTAACAAGTGTAAAGAGTGTTTTAACTATGGTAATTAACACCATAAATAGTTTGGAAAATCTCACCTTCTAATGTACTTAAGCGAGTACTCCACTCGCTCAGGTATTCCCAGGTCGCTGATGACATTGTTGTGTGTCTTGATCTTCACCAGGGCGAGGGTCTTGTCCGTGAGGCACAAGTTGTACAGACCCTGGATGTTCTTGGACGCGCCCAAGCCCTTTTTCTGTACGTTCACTTGCCAAACGTGCTCTGAAATTAGAAATGGGACATTTATTAGATATTATTGTATTGAAGTTAAAAATGTACCTCTCCAGGTTTTTTTTTGTTGGAAATAAACACAAGTCCCACACCTAGCCTCAAGCACTCCTTCTCCTCCTTCTCCTAGATAAGTCATTTATTATTGTCATCAGTATAAAGTGGAGACAGAGCAGTGGTATTACAGGATTAGAGGCCTGACACCTGCATCCTCCGGAAGAACAACGCGTGAGTTCATGTATAAAAAAGCAACAGTTACCATTTCCCAAAGGGAAAGGATTGTTAATAATGTGGACTAATGAACACATTGCAGGCAATGTACGGATCGGTTCTCCTTCCCGCGGTTCCAGGAAACTATCCTGATAAATTCAGCAGGAATTTATCAGGACAGTTTCCTGGAACTGCGTGAAGGCTTAACAGACCTGACCTCATGTTTTTTTTTGTGAATGAAGTGGAATGGTGCACCCGCCTGTGCTAACAGTTTACGCTGGCGTCAGTTAGCCCATCGTGACAAATTCACCAGGAATTTATCACGATGGTTTCCAGGGGGAACCGCGTGGAGGTCAACCTGACATGGTACATTGCTAGTAATGGGGTTATAAGTCCACATTACTAACGATCCCCTTTCCCCCCCTGACCTCATGTTCATCCTATCATCCTCTACTGGTGCCCCGCCAGTATAATCCATGGGTCAGGCGGGTGCCCCGTTCCAATATCATCCAATGGGGGTAGGGGATTTTTAGTAATTTGGACTAAAAAACCCATTGTTAGTAATTTAGCGTGACCGGTTGTCCTTCACGCTGCTCCAGGAAACTATCCTTATAAATTCCTGCTGAATTTATCACGATGGGTTAACAGACTTGAACTTATGTTGATCCTATCATACTCCACTGGTGCATCGCCAGCGTAAACCGTTAGCGCAGGGTGCCCATACTAACATTTCGATCCCGCATCTCAGGCACTGGGTGAGGGATATCTCGGAGTTTTTAAAGAGAAGTCTATGACTTTCGCCGAGTAAAAAGATCGGAGCCCGATTCCATTATCATCCTTTAAAAAAAAGTCACTTTTTACTATCAGGTGGGTTAGCTTATTTACCAATCCAATTACACAAACAAACTACGGCACGACGCTCTCTAAATTAAAACTATTAACTATAAAAAGGTTAACAATTCCAGTTACGTGTTGTAATTAAGTTCATACAAACAATCGTGCCCAGGGCCCCACAATGGATTGGGGCCCCCTAGCCTAGTCCCTACTATATTTCCAAACGGTAACCGATAGCTATTCTCCTCTCGCCTGAAAATCAGTCTTAACAAATGCTTACCGACTATGGTCAATTTGTATGTTTTTGTTATTTTTTTATGTCTAGCAAGAACTCGAACCCCTCATCACATAACGACTTTTTAAGAATATTTTTCACAGGGGGCCCCTCATCCTAATATGCTCAGGGCCTCTAATAGGTGAAAGACGGCCCTGCAAACAATGACGTAATTAATAGTTACCTATTACGTCATCATGTCTGCGTCCTATATTTCTTAGAAATGTACAATCTACAACAAACATTATCACAGTGTGTACGACGGCCTCGGTGGTGTAGCGGTTTAGCATACCGCTTTACTTTCCATGGTCGCGGGTTCCATTTATCGCTTTTTTTTTTTATTTTATCTTATTTGTTTTTTCCAAACAGCGGTCCGTGCCTTTGTTGATTTTATCTATCTCCATTAAAATTAATTACAATTTTCATTTATTAACATTTTATGGTATACCGCCCTATATATTTATATGATTGTCTATATTGGTTTGGGTGTTTTCTATGTATACTTTTTTAAAAGATGATAATGAAATGGTACTCCCTCCATCGCTAACGGTTTACGCTGGTGGGGACACATTACTAATAATGCCCTTTTCTACCTTTCTATGTATATTATATATGCATTCACAAAAAATATATAACTATGTACCTATTAATATCAGTTATTTAGTACCCATAACATAAGCTCTGCTTAGCTTGAGACTATAGCGTTGTGTGAATTGTCCAAACAAAAAAATATGATGTATCAAATAAAGTTAGCGATACTTAGATATATTTTTTATTTCATTTATAAAAAAAAAATATCTATGTGTTTATATTAGTTATCTAGTACCCATAGCACATGCTCTGCTTATCTTGGAACTAGATGGTGTTGTGTGCATCGTCCAATCAAAAAATATGTTAGAAATCAAATGCGCGATACTATTTAGTCAGTATCAAACTATAATCAAACATATAGTGAACTAGCTGTACTCGCGACTTCGTTCGCGTGGAATTTACCTTAATTTTTCTAAAATAAAGTAGGCTAAGTTACTTCTTGGTACATCAGCTACCTGCCAAAAAAAGTGCCGTCAAAATCGGTCCAGCCATTTCAGAGATTAGCCGGAACAAACAGACAGACAGACAAAAATTGTATTATTTTGGTGTATGTACCGTATTTATACTCCTACGCATGTAGTAAAAACCGGTTATTTCAATATTACAAACAGACACTCCAATTTTATTTATACGTATAAATTTGTTTTGCCGCTTTGAAATACGAGTTGTTTATCAGAGATGAGACCTTTGAACAATGGGACTACTGCGTCATCATAGAGTAGTAATAGTACGCGTTCTGTCGGCATCATTGTACTATCTGATAATACTGCGATATAACGATACAATACTTGTATTATTTATATCATGGCCTTATTTACTACATAGTTTTACTATTAGTTCAACTCTGGTCGACTTGAAAAATATTTCTGTTACAATTTATAATTAAGTTTTAAAGTTTAGTTAAGTCAAATTCAAATTCAAAACATCTTTCTTCATGTAGGTACATAACAGACTTAGGATACGTCAAATCTACCGTCAGTTCGGAATGATTTCGACATGACGAGAACTGACAAGAAACTCAGCTCGTATTCTTTTCAAATAAATGATATATATGTTTATGATAATACAGATTCATTTTTAAATTCAAACTTGAGAGAATAGTGTGACCACCAGCATATGCCATTGCAAAAGCAATCTGTGTTCGTAACCTGAACAGACCAGTCCCCACAAGCAGCACCCGTTCACGAGTATGTCGGATGAGCCAGACATCATTGCAATTATCTGACTTACTGTCATGAAGGAATATCCTAAACTGTAATATCCCAAGTTGTCTGTAAAAAAATTAATCGAACAATACCACGATTTGCTAACTTGTCAGTCACCAAGAAGGATGTGAACCAGTGGAGGATGATAGGATGAGCGTCAGGTCATGTCTGATCTGAACCTCACCCTATCATCCTCCATTTGGTGCCCCACCAGCGTATACCGTAATCGCAGTCGTTTGCTTACATTAACATTCCGATCCCACGGCTCCGGCATATGGCACTGGATGTGGGACGTCTTGGAGTTGTAAATGAGTAGGAATCTCACAGTCCATGACGACTTTCTTCAACTAAGATAAGTAAGATGCACCATTCCTCTATCATCCATTATAAAAATTCCCGTTATCCCATCTAAAATAACAGTTGTGCCTAATTTCTTATTATTTACTGCCGTAATCTGTCAGTGAAGTTATTTAAACAAATAAAATCACCCGAACAAAGCCATGACCTAAACTAATAATACATAAGAGGCAAAAAGTTAGAAAAATACATATCAAACGTGCATACGGCATGCAGTACAATAGTAACCACAAATTTCCCCATGTCGAACCCCATATTCGCACCAACGGAGGCCAACGGAAAACCATTATCGTTGATGGGGAATACCCTTGACATTTCTCTGCAAAATACTTATTTTTAATAGGTATTAGTTACTCCGAAACCACTTCCTACATGTTGTTTGTTATTATCGAGAATTTATTAACAATGTTTACTCACTGTCCTTACTCAAATAGCGATCGTAAGTTCGATATTGGACGATATAAAACTTTGTGGAAATTCAAAATTTCTAAGAATAGAATATAATAGAAATAATCATTATTCAAATAAACTCAATATAAGCACTTTTGAATAGTCAATTTTTTTTATTCTACCGCTCATTCGGAATGCAGATTCATTACAAGAAGAATGAGCCAGAAACTAATAAGTAACTCTCAGATGGTCATGAACACTGTTAAAATACCAGAAGAGTGTAGACGTCGTGTTGACACCGGCCAAAACAATTTTTTATTATTACGTGATAAATAAAATATGGATATTGTAATTAAAAAATCCCCAAAATTTTTCAATTCCATTACGATTGGGCCAACATAATTAAAGCTTCCAAATTTCAAACAGCTCTAGTACTATAATAGTTTCTGAAATATAGCGGCATTGTGATATATAGACGAACAAAACTAATGACAAAATTGCCCCATACGGGTTTTGTGACAGACAAACGAAAGGACATAAGGACAAATCGAACTTACGGGTTAAATTATTGTTTTTTACTTCAGAACTCTAATAAAATAGTCCATGTTTGCAATCCAAACCTAAGGGAATAACCAAAAAAAATGTTGCAAATTATACGTAACCTAAACTCTAACATACAATCATTACATAGTATAAAACAAGTCGCTGTAGCTGACTGTCCATCCCTATGTATGCTTAAATATTTAAAACTACGCAACGGATTTTGAAGCGGTTTTTTTATAACAGATAGAGTGATTCTACTGGAAGGTTTATATGTATAATACATGTACACCCGGGCGAAGCCGGGGCGAGTAGCTAGTAAACTATAAACAAACGACGAAATTAGTACTTCCTCGTTTTTCAAGTCGGTTATCCTATGACCTTACTCAATATACTTAGAATAGTCTATTGGCAGGTAAACATAGAACAAAACACTTCCAAGTAGCGAAAAAAATATGACGTAAATAGGTAACATAACGCTTAAGCAGGTCTATACAGTCAGCCTCACATATGTTTGTCTTTCTCAGAACTGCCACAGTGGCACAGTAATTAAGCACTTTGTTTGAGTATGTAAGGTTCCGGGATTGATTTTT